GCTATCTATAGCCCAATGTCATTCGCCAAATGGGGCATGGACATTCTAGGTCCATATACGCCTGCTACAAGCGGACGGAGATGCATTCTGGTTGCCGTTGATTACTTCACCAAATGGATAAAGGCAGAGGCGGTCAAGGGCATAAAGACAAAGGATGTCATCTCCTTTATTTGGAGGAACATCATCACCCGGTTTGGGGTACCTATGTCCATGGTCTTTGATCAAGGGATCTCACATTGTTTTGCATCGGTCGGCCATCCCCAAGTAAACGGCCAGTTTGAAGCCTTCAACAAACTCATCTCAGACAGCATTAAAAAGAAAATTGAAAGGGTTGTCGGTCTATGGGCAGATGAGTTGCCTCATGTCCTATGGACTATCAGAACAACTGAAAAAGGGGCAACCGGTGAAACCCCGTTCCTCATGACCTACGACACTGAAGTTGTCCTGCCTATTAAACATTATGTGCCAACACTTCGAATCATGCTCTATGATGAAGAAGCTAATTGGGAGGCCATGCGGCTAGCACTGGATTCACTCCCGGAGCGCAGGGGCAATGCTGCCTTATGTCATGAGATTTACCGTCTGAGAATGACAAGAGCCTACAACAGAAGAGTGCACAAATGACCCTTAAAAGTGGGGGACTTTGTGTTACAAAAAATGGAGGCAATCGGTAGGGCCAATGAGCAAGGAAAGATGACCCCTAATTGGGAAGGCCCCTACCGGATTTTTGAAGAAGTTAGAGGCGGCACCTACCGCCTGGTAGCTTTAGACGGCAGGCAGCTAGCCAGAACTTGGAATGTAGACAACTTGAAAAAGTACTACTTCTAAAGACTTGTAAATCTTTGTAAATAGAGTATATTAATGAAAAAGATGCTTTATTTTTATGGTTTCTTATACAAAGTCCCGCCTGTGCATGCACAACTAGGCATACGTCTGCTCTAACTTTAGAAATAATCTAAGTCGTAAACTTAGCAGCTATTTTTGAGGCCAATGGCCGGATGGCATTCCAACCGCCGCCTGCTCCAACATGAGCAGGCAACCGGCGACGCCTATTCGGGTGAATTCGTCGAAGAGAGCATCTCCCATTTGGGTGGTACATTGTTCTATAAATCACAACTCAAGCGACTTTAACCGACTGTCTCGGTTAAAGATAACTCACGACCGTTTGAATAACTAATTGAGACCTAGATACAACCGGTTGTTGCTTCAAAGAAACACAAACGGTAACTGATATCTTGGTCAGATTTAGCCGGTTTTTGCCCAAAGGTACTACAGCCGGTTACAAATCAAAATTAAGCTAAAACATAACATGGTTATGACACCTACACTCGGCCAATGGCCACCTGCTATTATGCAACTAGCAAAGACTGATTACCCTAAGGGCTAAATCACAGCCGGTAAATAGAGTAATCTAGGTTGGTCCCCTAGCCGAAACCGTCTGGTGTTCCAACTTAGAAAATAACTTGAGAAAATTTTCTAAAGGCGGCCAACCGTCTGTCAATTCGTCCGGATGCTCGATTGGACGGCTGTCTCCTTAGGGTGGGGAAAATACCAAGCAAACAACCGTCCAGGGGCAGATAAGGCCAACACACCCGTTATATCGCATGTGTTAGGTTATGTGCAAAAATATTCGTGCATAACAGAAATTTGAAAAAATTGAAAAAATTAAAGCAAAATATATCAAGGGCAAATATAGGCAAAACTGAGTCAGGCGGAAAAATTCTATTAAAAATAATTGTCAGTCAGAACTACGTCCGGGGTGGAAAGAGAGTACATATAAAACACTCAGCACGTAGGCCGGAAATAAAAATTAAGTTCATTGTTGCTGGGGAGTGGAAGACGTCTGGCCCTGTCCGAATGGAGGATCATCTTGAGTTTGCTGAGGTTAGGCTTGATTGGCATCAACCGACACTTCATCTTCCGCCTGCTACTCCTGATCTTCCTCTACAATACCAGTCCATTCTTCGAAGGGAGCCAGCTTCTCAAGGCCAAGAGCCTGAGTATCATACACCTCGGTGGCGTACTTGTACCTCAGCTCAAAGAATTCCCAATCGCAGTCCGGGTGGATGAGGGACCAGGCCATCTTCATACGAGCCTCACAGTCCTGCTCGTTTTCAGCGACTAGCCGGTCCTTCTCGGCCGCCAACTTAGTCTAGTGGTCGGCCTGCGCCTGGGTCAGCTCGTTCTGCAGTCGGGAGACGTCTGCTCTCAGTTGGGTGTTCTCTTTATTGGCATCCCCCAGTGCCTTGACGTCGGACTGGAGGTTTTTCGCCTACAACTCAAAGTCATCCGCCTTCTTGTTGGCCGTCTCCACAGCCGCAGTGAGCTCCTTGATAAGCTTATCCTGTTTCATCTCCCGGCTTTTAGTTTTAATCTCATACATTAATGTGTTGTATTGAGTAACATCAATGAGATCAGCTGCCCGCCTATTGGCGTCCCTTACCTCCTCCTACTTCTTCCTCAAGGGGACCTTGAGGCCATCTACCCTCAGCATCACCTGTAAAGATCAGCCGATTAATATTAGTGTAAGTTTAACTATGATGACACATCCGGCAAAAGAGTAAATTATATAGTTGTACCCCAGCCGGTGGAAAGCTGACTTACCTCAGCAAGCAGCGAGTTGATGCGGTCAATATTGACCTGATGCACACCCGACACTACGTCCTTCTCAGTCCGGGTGAGGTTCCTCAACATCCTCCTTGCATATTGTTGGAGGTCAGGCCAATGGGAAGAGACATCTACACCAACAGAGTTATGTGTTAAGTAACGAGCATAAGCGGCACCTATATTCTGCCGGCTGTCGGAGGAATCCCCTGATTGGGTAGCTTAGGACTTGACTCATATAGGCCCAAGCGGCCAGGGGGGGTCAAAGGTGAAAGTCATACCTTCATTTTTCAGGCTGAGGGGTCACCTTACCCCCAGCCGCATTGAAGCCGGTTGCTGCAGCAGGACGCCGGCTCGAGGGCGTCTTAGTTTCCCCCGCCTCGAGGTCAACCGCCTAGGTGTTTAGACCGAGGTCCTTCAGGCTCTTGCCTGCTGAAGTTGGCCTGTCAGATACAAGCAGCCTTCAAGAAGTATGGGGGGACAACCGGAACCCTCCTTACCTTGGAAGGAGCCTGGGAGGGTTCCTCAGACGACCTTTTTAACATTTTTGAGATTGAGCGAGGAACATTCTTACTCCCCGCCTGAAACAGAACACAATCGGTTAACAACTTTATTGACATCAAAACTATATAGACGGTAAAAAGGATGCAGCCGGAGCTTACCCCATCGTCTTTAGCCGCTAGTTGGGCCCTTTTCTTTTCTAATTGATCCTTTTGGATCTGTGCAGCAGACTTGGCCGGTGTCTTCTCAGGCGGCACCATTTCTAGTCCTTTTTCTACAAAAAGAAAATCAACAAGTCAAATATAACTTAGAATAATATAAGCGGCAGAAAAGAGTCGGTTAACCTCTCTACATATGTCTACTGAAAAAGGTGCTAAGGCCGCATGCGGAAAGGAAGGCCTCATCCCTTAGCCAGTCCGGATGGGGCACCCAATTTTTGGGTACAATTATTTCGGACCCGTCATCTAAGGGCATGGTGGTCCTTTGGAAGAGCCCCGCCTCCATTATTTGCGTCCAGGAGAGCCGGCTGTGTATTATAACGTTGAAGCTGACGGGTTGATAGGCTAAAGTCGTATCACCTAATCAAAAGTAATTCCTAAACCACTAACTAAAATAGATGGGAATTAGGGTCGAATCCACAGGGAAACAAGTCTTTCTATTCCTAATTAATTAATATAATCTAAATTATCAAGTAATCAAGTTGTTTTTAATAAGAATCAAACTAATAATTAAACTAAGGCAAATTGAGTAAGGGAGGAAATCAATAATAAAAGACCTAGGGTACAGGTTCACCAATAAATAATATTCCAGGGTAAAACACAAAAATCAATTATCAATGCATCAATTAATCAGATTATAAAAGGCTTTCACTACGTATTACAATCATAGAATTAATCTACCGGTATTAAATCGCATCTCTCAAATCTTGACTTAACCATTTATAAATTAGCCTGCCTATTGAAACTAAGCCTAAACATCAATTCTCATCTCTCAAATCTCGAATCAATATTGCATAACTCATACAATTAAACCAGGCCTAATCTAATTGCATAGCATTAATTCAATCAATTAGAAATCAACCAAAGCATTAACAATCAACAATAGTAAATTACCTCTTCATATTATTTATGGATCCCCACCACCCTAGAAAATAAACTAATCACACATATTAAAATCTAAACTAAGCAAAGCAATTAAAGAAAGCATAATTAAATCAAAGCAATTAAATTACTGAAAGTAAAGAGAAGAAATCGTTACCAAAATTAATGGAAATAATGAATTGCATAAAACTCAAGAGTGTAGAGAGAGAAAGTAAGAGTATTGACAAAAGCTTTTTTAGAGTGTAGAAAAACGTCCTTAACTTCCTAAAATAAAACATATTTACACTTAGGCTAAAAAGATAAAACAAATTATATCATTAAACCCTTTAGAAACACACGCCCAGTCGGGCGGAGCTTCGCCCGGCCGGGCCTGCCTTTTTTATCCTTTAGTCTTTACTCGCGCCCGGTCGAGCGCACGTCAGGGCGAAGCCTTCTTTTCTTTTATATGCCTCGCCCGACCGGGCGCGCCTCATGGCGAGGGCTTGCCCGGTCGGGCGAGCTCTCGGGCAAGCTGGACCTCTTCACTTTAGGGCTATTTCTCTTGGCACAACTCCGGGTTTTCTACCTTGGGTCTTGAATACTTGGTCCATTGCCTCGGTCTCTTCTATGTCGAGCCCTTAATCACCGATTTGATGACTCCAATCGGTCTTGGGCTATGAAATACGGTCATAATTCTCCAATGCTCGTAGTGGCTTAACATAAGTCCGGGAAAATGCTCCAAATCTGCAATTTCCTATAAAACAGTTCCAAAACTACGAAAATACTAGAAAACGCATATTAGTAATAAAAGTGACTCCGAAGAGCCAATAATACTCCTAAATATGACCAAGGGACGGAGGTAAATCTCTATATAAAATGAACATATCAACGGTTCAGGCGAAGGGAGGGGGAGGAGACTAAGTAAAATTTGCTCTTCCAATTACTCCACTTTGACGGCTTGTCAAGCGTCATCATGTATTCCGGGTGCGTGGTCAATGTATACCACGCCCTCCAGCCGCCTGGGGCACGGCTAAGGTAATGCATATGTGCAAACGCCTCCCAGCTAGGCGTTACGCTCTGCATCTCGCAGGCGGCAATATACCCTAAAATGTTCACCCAAGAATTGGGTGTTAACTGCTAGACGCCCAAATCATAGCCTCTCAATATAGCTCTGATGGCATCGTGGAGAGGGAACCGGAGGCCGGCTTTAAACGCCGCCTCATAACAGCCGAAATAGTTGTCGTCGTGATCAATGTCGTCATCCCAGACGACGGTTGCCTCTGCAGGCGGTACTAATACATCCCACCTATCACCAACCGGGCACTTCTTAATAAAAGAGGGGAAGGTGGCATTTAGGGTAACTATGCCTATTGCGGACATGCTCATTTCAGTGGGATTATTGATGGCCCGGGCCATTTGTACGCCTCCTCCTCCCCCCGGAAGGCATCTGGTTCTAATGATGTTGATTCCCCTGAGTCCGACTAGTAGACGGTCTCATCACCGCCTAACTCCTCAGACTCCTCCAATATGTCATCACTTGGAGTGCTGGGAGCGCCCAGAGGTCGTTATACTCTATGTCAGCCGGCGCTTCAGTTGAGCCGTCTGATCTGTAGTCGAGGTCAACAGCCGTCCGCTTCGTCCGAGCCATCCTGTCCTGCACATGCACAGAGACGGTCGGATTCGTGGAAGAGAAAGGGTGGTCCAAACACCCCCAGACGGCATCCCCAGTCCTAGACTCAGCCGTATCAGGGGACCAGCTGACAACTGTCCTAGGCCATGGCGTGTGTGTGTTGGGTAAGTCTATTATTCTTTACAAAGCATACAACCGGAAAAGCTCAAAAGAGTTGCAAGGGGTAAAGACGGTACCTTGTAGAAGCTATAGAAGTGGAGAAGGTTGACTAGCTGAATCAGCAGCCGGAAATCCAATTGTTGCTTGCTAGGTACCCAGACGGTTGCCCGGATGTACCCCCTTTGAAAGCAATTAAAAATTGTTAATGAATCCCAGGCGTGTCTCTGCAATCTTGCTTGATGATCCCCCAGACGGTAGACCGGATGAGGGTGTATTGAAAGCAGAGGGAAACAATTAAAGTATGCTTAGACGGTGCTAATAAGTATTGAGTAATGGGTACCCAAGCGATAGCGGTTTGAGTGAAGAGGGGGCAGGCGGTTATGAAAGAAATGGCAGTCGGTCTCAGAGCTCTTTTTCCCCTTTCTCAGAAAATTTCTCAAAGTATAAAATGGGGAAAATGAGGGGGGTGGACTTCTACTTATAGAGGAAATCCCCCAGAAGGCGAATTGTCACTTCCCAAAAACAAAAAAAAAACAAAAAAAAAGAGAGAAAGAAAGAGAAAAGGAGGCGAATCGTCGCCTTCTCAGATTGTGATACCTGTCACATGTGCCACGTGGCAAGCCACGTCACACCTGTGAGGGGCAAATGTTTAGGGTAAAAATACCCAGTCCACGTGGACCAATCGCATGCTGACACGTGTCAGCCTCAGAGAGGTTCTGAAAGAATCAATCCTCTGATGACACATGGCAGTCCAAGCCATGAAAGGGGAGTTGATCCTCAAACCCATTTATTGCACATTCAGAAATATCCACACAAATTTGAGGAATATTAATTGCAGATACTCTCTTGGAATCCAAGAGAAAACTCTCTACATTTCGCACTTTAAACTCCGTTCGGATTCATACTGACTTGATCGTCGGAGGCGAAACTCCACCCCAACCAGAGCTTCCGTGATTTTGCATGTATAGACGGTCGACATCCATTCTCGGAATTGTAACTCTCCCGAGGGACTCCATAAACCCCGAAACAATCTACACATATTTTCGAAGCTTTATTAAATGTCATTACTCATTTTGAGAAAATACTAGTGTATCATCTTGATATGGCAATCTTGTATATAAACAATAAAAAATGTGCAGCATTTATTGTGGAACCGCTAATTGTATTAGCGATTCCATCATGAACAATGCACATTTTTTATAAAATAAACCCGTTAATGATGCTAGGATTGCTAGCGAATCTACCATAAATAGTGCAAATTTTTAGCATATTTTTACAAATCTGTCATTTAATAAACATGCCATGTTTATCAAAAAGATCAACTAGAACGCCTCATTTTTAATCCCATAAAAAATGAAAAAAATAGTTGTACTACAAGCGGGGTTACTGGAAAGGAAAAGATGGAAATGAGCCGAGACTATATCAATCGAAGCTAGACATGGTTTTACTAGAATTTGCCGTAATAGTAATACAGTCTGGTGACTAGGCTCACTGCCACTTACTACTTGACTAGTATAGCAGATAAAGATCTATCCAAAAAAAATCAAGTTCAACACAACTTAAGCAAACCACCCGATTCTCTTTACTCTGCCATTGATTATCAACTAACTACACTCTACATAGTTGCAGAATGGAGACTCTTTCCAGGAAGTTGCCCAGTTTTTTACGAACATCTTCTTTTTTGCCAGAAATTCAATTGCAAATTCAAATCAAAGTAGCAGTATATTGTTTCCCAAATCATCTTCACTCAGAAATCCCACTGTTTCTGTCCTTAAATCCCTTTCTCAAGGTTATTTCTATAAATTCCTACTTTTTATTTTCTTGCTACTTCCAACATTTTCATGAATCTGTGTTTTAGAATTATGGGTTTTTAAAATTATCTTTTTTTTTTTTTTTTGGGTTAAATTTATGAAATTTCATGGATGAGGTGATCTGGGTGTTACGAATTTGAGTGTAATTTCATCATTTTGAATTGGGGTTATGTATATGAGGCATTTATTTACTTATAATGGGCTGAAATTCATACTATTTGTTGCCTATCTTATTTCTTGCTCTGGAATGTTGTGTTTGGGTATTATCCTTAAGTTCAAATTAAATTTTTCTTAATCTTGAATTATGATTGTATTGGTTTCGTGTAACTAGATTTCCATAACTCGCCTTCTTGTGGCAGTTTGTTGTCGTCGTCCTTGTCGTCGAATTGTCATTGTCAGTGGTGTATGAATTCAGGTGAAAGGAATAGTACCTTGGTTTTTATAAAGAATTATCTAATGTCTTACCAAACTAGAACTTGTCCTTAGGTGGATCAAATTGGCAAAAGCAAAGATTTTGCATTGTGTACTTGTATGTTCTACCATGAATCCGAGCTTAATTTTTTGATGTGCTTGCTGTCATAAAGCCGGTTGAATTGGCAATTGCAAAGACTCAAATTTAATAGAATTGAACCTATTTTTCAAATTGCCTGACCTCAGGTTGATAGAACACTATTCTTTGGTATGCTTAAGTTGGTGATTGATGGTGGAAATCTCGCAGAGTGCTTTGATATTGTCCGGAATAAGCAGACCTCACCTTGTAAAAATTGACAATATTGACTATAATGTGCTCATGTGACCATGTCTGAAATTATAAGCTGAATAAGGCTGCTCTATTATGACATCATGCTTATATCTTTTCTGATCTTCTTCAGCAAGTAAACGTGCTGATGAAGATGTTTTGCGAGAATTTTTCAGGGAAAGACAGTTGAAGGGAGATATTATAACAAAATACTCTGATAGATTTTTTCAGAAAGAGGTAATGAGAGTCATTGATGATGAAACTGCTGATGTAGATTATAGCTCTCAACCAAATCCAGAGGTATCGCACTGTTTTTAGTTCTCCATTTGTTCCTTGTAGATAATGGTGTAGTTAAGTTCGCCTATAAATCTAGAAATTTATTCAAATATATCTGGAAATCTGGAATTGACCCGATGCATTTTTGGTTTTCTCTAGATAGCCCCAAATTTATTATTCTTTCTAGTATCTAGTATTTTAAGTGAATACCTTGTGTCTTTAATTTACCTGTTGGGTATGGCCCAAATTTTATAAGCCCATTATATTGATAGAGTATAATCTAGAAGCTTCCTGAAAAATCAAGAGAAGATTACACTTGATTTTTCTAGAGTTATCTACAACTTTAATATCTCCTAGAATATTCTAGAGAATATTAAAAGTAGAAGCCTCTAGATTAAGAGCCATAATTATGGAGAAATTCCCATAAGAATCTAGAAGCCTCCATCCTCACCTATAAATATGGGTCAAGGGCATAACAATAACAAGAACACAACACAAGAAGCCATACCAAATACAAGCCTTTCTACAAAATATTCTCCCTCGTAATATTCCACTACTATCATAATACTCCTTTGTGAGTTTCTTATAGTGAGAGTTCTCTTGTAATAATCACCCTCTCAAGGGTTCTTGTACTCTCATACTTTCAAATAGTGGAATAAAAGTGCTCGTTGTTACACAAAATCGTATGTTCATTTATATTAATTATCTTGCCAATTATCAATTTAGTTTATAATTCTCAATCAAACACATCTTCGCTTCTGCTGTGCACTCACCAACCCTAACATTACCATTTCGATATTCGCATGTTTCAATTTTCTTTGTTCTAGTATTGTCAGGCCTTGACGAGCCTGACACAGGGTTTCTGATGGGTGAAACTTCTGCACCAATCAATAGGAAGCCAACCAATAAGATCTGGTTTAACATCTGTCTCATGCTTGCTAATGCTTCCTTCTTTCCTCAACCTTTTGTATTTGTAGGCTGTTATACAATTTCACTTCTTGAGGACAAACAGACAACTTACTGATTCGGCATCTGATAATAGGAATTACAGGACAGTAGGGAAAGAAGAAGGAGGCTCAACTTTCTAAATTATGAAGCTGTAAGACCCTTGATTTTACATGCATGAAAATAGCTACTCATTGCCTATGTTTTTCTTACCTCAGCTTCAAGATTATATTGAAATTATGTTATATCTGATATCTTTTAGATGATGATGTCGTATTATATTTGCTTTTACATGAGAAACTGAGAAGTGATGATAATTAAATACTATCCAATTAAGATTTTCTCTTTGTTAAATTATGTCTGACCTTCATTGAGGACGACACTCCACACCAAAGATGGATCAATTATCTTTTTTTCTCAAATTTTTAGTTAAATTATAAATATGCTACTGGAAGCTATCTTTAATCAATGAATCAACTTAAACCTCTCTCCTCTCTTCTCCTCTTATCTGTTACTTATCAATGACATATTTGACAGACACTTCTCACAGCAGTTGATGTAAATGAATCTTTAATAAATACTAACTTACTATATTTTTTACTGTTTTAACTCAATTAGAATGTCAAACTCTGTAATCCAAAAAAAAAAATAAAAAAATGTCAAACTCTGTAAATTCTATCTGCATCCTTTGTTAAAATAAACTTTCTTTTATATAGGAATATGTCAAGCATTTTACTTTTTGCAGTAGAGGACTTTAAAAACATTCAATGTTGGCCAAAATGGTTAAACAAAGAATTCTTGGTGCATTCCAAACAAAACTCTAAATATCCAATGGAAGAATTGGTAATACTAGTGATTAACTGGAATAGGGTGCAAATTCATCATTAAGATTGATATGAGGTTGGAGCATCTGCTTATAAACTACTCCCTCCATCCCTAAAAGATTTATAAAGTAGTTTACAATCAATTTATGATCAGAGATTAAATATTACTCTTATGCTAGTTCCTTCAGGGAAAAATTATTATTTCTACAGTAGATTTAAGGTTTGTACAATTAATTAAGATGGCCTAAGAAATATTTCATATTCCTAACTGTAGTCAAACAGTACTGTACCTGACCTTTTTTCTTATGCTAATTATCATGATGGGAAATTCTTGTATATATAGCCACAGTAAAATAAATATAAAAATAAATAAATAAATAAATAAATAAACTATTTTTATTTCCTTATCTAAATTCTCTAATTTTTCCCATGGATCAATCTCCAAGTTTTTCTAGCTGATTGGTCATTAACGTTGCTGATGTTAGCATGATTACATTTCCAGCTTAAGAGGGAATTGCAGTTCATGACTCTGGGGATTGGAGCCGCCTGTACTGGGTATTGCTTATTCATATTCTCAATCCAGGTAAGATAAGTAAAAGGAAATTATGTACAGTCGGTATTCTCATTTATGCTGATAGCATATCTACAAAAAACTTGACTATAAAGCTATTACGTAACTGCATTCCTCTGGGTTTTTTTTCAAACTGTATGTCTTGCTTATCCAATAAGTTGTCATGAGTAGTGCAAGTGCAACTACAAAGAACCACCTACTATGTTCTGTGATGTGGTCAATTAATTCCTTCTAAAATTTCTTTAATATGCTCAAGATAATATGTACTTTAGGAGGTGAGTTTTAATCACAAGAAAAATTGTTACGGAGTATTTTCTTTAATATAAATATAATGAATCTTGAAACAATGAAAACCCTGAAGCTATACCTAATCTTCTGTTATAATATTATTTCCCCTTGATTATAGCAGGTGATAATATTCTTGAACCTGGTATAGTGGTATATGATTCTATTTTCTTACTTGTGCATTTCTTTTGTATGTTTCTTAGGCAGCAGTGAGTTATGCTTCAGGAGTTGGATTTAGGTTAGCTACCTTCTTTAATAGTTATATTCTAGGTGTTGGTGAACTTGAATATTGTGAAGGTTGATTAAATTGAAGCCAAGCCTTTGAGATTCTCTGTAACTGCTCAGCTAATATTTGTCATTAAACTCTTGCAGTTTCTTGTATCTGCAACTGTTGTACCAGCATGCGGACAACATATCACAGGATTCAGTTCCACAAATTTTCCGGCAAAAGAAAACAAAGAAGTACACCCTTAAATTTACCTGACCATCCTTATTTTTCACCTTTCTTACTATGCTAAACGTTAAAAAAATGTATAATAATAATTAATAAAAGATTACATCCTAATTATTCAGATGACTAATGTTGTGCTTCTCTGTCCCTTATTGTCTACTGTCATATTGATCAGAATTGGAATACGAAGTGAGGATCTGAAAGATTCACTAGAAAAATCAGTCAAGGGAAGTGGGATTGCTCTTTCGTCTCCGAGACTTGTAATTAGGGGTGTCCGTTCGGTTTTCGGTTTGGATTTAGTCCAAATCCGATCCAATCCGAAATATAATTCGGTTTTCAATTTTCCAATCCGATCCGATCCGAATTTCTCTCTTGATCCAATCCGATCCAATTTGAATTAAAATTCGGTTATTTGGATCCGATCCGAAAATCCAAATTATAATACATTATTTTTTTAGCGCCTAATACAATTATAAAAATAAAGCTTTACTATAAATAAAAGTCTTCAAAATCATGATTAAAATACATAGTTCAACGTCAAGTCATTAATTAATTAATACAAAGTCTCTCTAATTTATTTTATGTAGTATTAAGTATTTGAGCTAAACTTCAAAATATACAGAAATCCATATTTATACAAGCTTAATTTTACAATTCGGTTTTCGGTTTGGATTGGATCCAATTAGGGTCAATCCGATCCAATCCGAAAATCCGAATTTCCAAAAAATCTCAATCCGATCCGATCTGATTTAAAGTTCGGATCCGATCCGAATTGATAATTCGGTTTGGATTGGATTGGATTTCGGTTTTTATCCGAATTATGGACACCCCTACTTGTAATCCCTGCAGCAATATATGGAATATGGGTCCTGCTTCACCAGAACTTTGCTACAGATCTCTTTGATTTCCAGGTATTACACGAACTGTTTCATAATGTGGCTGGGAGTTTTGATGTCTACGTATTTGGTCTTAAGCTCTTAACTAACCTTCTGATTCACTGTTAGATTGTGCCTTATGTTGGGATTATTTGCTTACAAAGCTGCCGCGCTCGTTCAAGTTTATAGAGATAATGAAGACTTACAATTCATCTTTCCAGATACCGAGGAAAGCTCAGGTGTCTGAAAACTCATGTCTTGATTCAAACATAGAACAGTTTACCTTCCCCAGTTCAGAGAGCTATTGTTAATACTGAAACTGAAATTTTGGTGCTGGAGGCTGGAGCACACTTTTTCTTGGTAAAAAATTCTATATATGTATGAGTTGGTTTGATCTGTATATATTGTAGGATACTAGGAGGCATATGTAGTACAGAGATCCAACTTTCTGCCTTTGTAGGTACTATAGCAGGTAATAATATATTTGTTGTACCCTTTCCGTTCGAGCTATGCCATTAGTAAGCCATCCTCTCTACATTTTTTTTCCTTTGAATTTGGACCAGTGTCCGTCCTCCTAAACTTCTCTCTACTTTTTCACCTTTTTTTAATCTTCGTGAAGTTTCTCGATGTACAGATTAATCATGGAGTTACGAGAAATGTAAAAATGAAAGGATTGTTAGCAAAGGCGACTGTTGATCTAGATCAGGCTTCTTTTGAACCAGATTTGTTTATAAAACAAAAGATAAAAGTTGTGCTGTAAATTTTGTTAAACAATTTTAGTCTACTGTTTTTTATAACTAATTTCAGCATTATTTGTGTTCTTATTTTTGCACATCACACTAGTCCCTCTCATCATCTCTCCTCCACACATGAGATTCTAAAACAAATGCCCACCTACATGGCTACATTTAGCAATAATAAAAACTCCAGAATATGACGTCCATCACTCCAATACTCCATAGAATTATATTTCTCCATAGAATTATATCACGTCTATCAATGTAACGTTCCTCGTAAAAAGCTTAATCTCTTAACGTAGCCTTCCCAAATCCTAGTGAGGCAGTGACTTTGGCTTATCCCACCAGTAGTGGAAAGGAGAGTACCTTCCGATCATGAGGTTGGAGGTTCAATTCCCAATAGAGACACTCAATAGAGACACTGTGGAACAGAGGATTCCCTTACCATCCTCCCACTCTCCCAAATTGTCTAGCCACTAACCCAAGTCGGGTTGGCACGTGAGGGAATTTGGCTCGGTAGGCCTCTTAATCTTGCCTATCAAAAACAATATTAAAAAAGCCCACATAGTACTACTCTCATGTCTAAATGACAATAGGTCATCTGCAATGTGCATAAAAGTAGGGATGTCAATGGGGCGGGGCGGGGCGGATGTTGGCCTTCCCATCCCCATCCCCGCCCCGGCGGGTACAATTCCAAAACCATCCCCGCCCCAACCCCCACTTGGATATCCACCCCCACATAATCCCCACCTAAGACCCGCCTCATCCCCGCCTCCTAAATACGCAATCCTTCATAATTAATAAAGATTGCAAAAAGAAAAAAATTATTGTTAATATTACACATTTTTTTGTTTATAATATAACTGTGTTACAAAGTATTATATTTACTATTTTATTTTACATAATTTTTTTTATAAAATAGTATAAAAGTATAATTTTGTTCTTAAAAATATATGGATGTGGGGATGGGACGGGTACGAAGTGGGGCGAGGCGGGGATGGGGCGGGTACAACCTAAAATCCACCCCCGCCCCATCACCCATGGGGATATGATTTTTATTCCCATCACCCGCCAAACCAAGACCCATCCCCGCCTCGTTGAGGCGGGGATGGGGCGGATCTCCTATTTAACCCGCCCCACTGACATCCCTACATAAAAGGCCATACTCAGACAAGCTCCTCGATGCATAAGTTGTTTGAAAGTGAAGTATACAACATCAGCTGAATGGGGTTGGACTAACAAGAAATACATGCATCAGAACACAATAACACATTGAAACAGTAGCAAATATAAAATTATGACGAACACGAGCAAATCCACAGACTACATATGGAGAAAAGTTAGCATTTACTATCAGAAAGTAACCCTTAATTTAGGTTAGGTACAAAAAACTAATTTAATAATTATGTACAGAAGATATTCGCAACAGAATGTTGAAAGGAGGAAATAAAGGGGATGAAAGCCTACTGCTACAATTTTCTAGGCTTCATGTATTTTTCTAATTCATCCAACATATCATGTATTGTACTATTGTCTACAGATCAGACTCTCGCATGAGGTGATTTAGTGATGGTGTCTTGCAAATATCACAGCATCTTCATCTCTCTGCGACATGCAGCATGCTCTCATGGAGCTCAGTTTGGTTCTATGTTTTCCGCGTGCAGCAATGTCAATCAGCAAGTCATCAAAACCTTCGATATAACCAAAATTTCCAATCAACTATCGCTCAGAAGACGTTTAAACTTCAAACCGGTGGTTTGAGAGGAAGTAGGCCAAAGAGAAAGTTGGCCGACCGGATGGGGTATTCTCCTCATTCGTAACATAAACCTGATTATCATAATGTCATCCATACACATCATCAGGTCCAATTTGAATACAGAAGCATTAAAATTGCAAGAAATCATAATTTTCATTGATCTTCACACGTGTACTCCCTCCATCCCCAATATAATTACCTTTTCTCACAAAATGCTTGTCCCCAAATAAAGTTTCCATTTCATATATGAGTTGAGAATCACACAAAAAGCCAGACAAACAAACATTAAATTAACCAGCTAATTTTTTTTTATTTTTTTTCTATTATTTCACTTAAATTAAAAAACCACATTTTTTTTCTCACCACATAATAATAAACATTAAAATCTACCAACTTATATTATGCACCTTTAATCAGCAAAACCTACTCTACAATTTTTAACTCCTAGATACTTGAGCCTAAGAAGAAATGGGGCCTTTATTTGAGGACAGAGAGTATACAGTTTCATTGTATTGTAACTCAAGTAGCAGTGCTTCAATGTTTCAACCTCACTCAGTCAACTATTATAAGAAATCCCTGTCTTCCAGCATACAATATATTCTTCTACACTAAAAATATTGTAAAAATGTGTTTAGTTATACAAATACAATATAAACTGAGCTCATTACCTCGTAGAAAGGACTATCTCCAATCCTGCCCACTTCTGGATGCTGAGAAGGCCTCACAGAATCATTCGAATTCCTACTTTTAGATTCGTTATACTTCTCTCCCTTCTGTTCAGCAGCATCTTTTTGCTTACGCTGCATTTCCTCTGCATGCCTTTTCCAAAGTGCTTCTCTATCTTTTCTAGGCATTTTCGAATACCTAGGGTCTGATTTCAGAAATCTTTTAGCAGTAGACCAAGAGATAAGAACAGTTCTCCCGTCTTCTGTCTCTTTTGTTGCGGCTTCAGGAGTTATAACCTCCGCCAAAAGAGCTCTAAAGTCATGTGCGCACCTCTGGACATCGAAAGAGGCAACAAACTCCAAGTTAAACAAGCCTGGGTGGCTGGGGCAGGGGTGGGTACAGAAAATATGATCAAGCTGAAAGTTAAATCACAAAAACCTTGTGGAACTAAATCCGCTCCAAAGTAGATCGAAATTTTCACAAACTAATTGGTGCACAGTGTTTTAGGAGATAAGTTGTTCAATAACTTAGTGTCATTTCAATTGAAAAATATATGGTAGGAGTTTGTGGGGCATATTGTGTTGTTACTTCAATGAAAACATGTGTGAAGGGAGAGAGTGGGTCTAAAAGGAGAGGTATGAAATATTTAAAAAAAGGTGGTGCGTGGTACCTTTCCTACAAAAAGGAAGTGTTAAACTATTTTAGGATAGATGAAAAAGGAAACTAATCTAGGACACATGAAGTATTAAATAAGAACAATTCGCAGCAGAGGTTAACTCAGATCCTCCATCCAGATAAATTGCAGCATAAGATCAAGCACGAGCAAGGTTATGCACAATCATACAGAAAGCCAAACTCAAATTAGCACGTTTAGCACATGTAATAAATGCCTGTTTTAGGTAGGCAGTCACAGATCCTCAATCCAAAAAAATTGTCACCCTGCCCTAACCGTTATAATTAAGGAGCGGGTAATTTAATGGACAACTACGTAATTTTCACAATTCGCATGATACGCTTCACATCTAACTCTGTGCGTCATACTTATCCATACAAAGCTTTATAATAGGTGTGTCCAGGCCCTCTTTCCTCACTCATTCCAACCAAGGAGAAACTTGGGAAATCTTACCAATCTATTAATACACTTCGTATTAGAAATATGTTTGCTTCAAACTTCTCTTAGACATCCAAAATAGCACATGGAACTGTTAATTGTATGATATTACACTTCCACTTCCAGCCACCATCTCAACTATTCAGAACACTGAAGGAAAAGAAAGGGAGGAAGGAGAAGGGGAGGGGATGGAAGAATGATGAGTTTTCCTTCCAAATCTCTCCTTTGTTATCCAAATGAAAGATAGTCCATCCCTCCATTTCCCTTCCCTTCCCTCCATCTCCTTCAATCCAAACAAGGTGTTACAGTCACCATCCCAATTATTCAGAACACAATTCATATTTTGGAGTAACTGCTTTCACTCCCTTCCCAACCATGGACCTCCACCCCCCCCCCCCCCACCCATCACATAATCAAAGTCCCCCTATTACTTCTTTTTGCCTCATGTCTCTCAAATACAGCTTAGAGCTAACCAAACTACATGATTCTAACTACGAAACAGATGCAACTTCTTGGTATAAGTACTAGGGTCAGCATTTGTGTCATAAAATTCAGAAAGGCAGCAAATAAACTCAAACAGCACTATATGCATTGTAGCAAAAACTTATATCAAACATTATAATGAAGCATTATAGCATTTTTACAACTTACGTTATCATTTTTACAACCCCCACACCCCTCTCAAGGGCCCAACAAAAAAATTGCCGAAAGCTAATTGCTAAAAAATGTATAATGTACAATAAAAAAAATACACAATAATTAGCAAATTAGAAATACCAGAACAAATTCATGAACGAAATTTCAGCACTTTTGTCAGCTCAGAGGATTGGAACAGTAATGTATATCAACACATATTTATTATTGTAAGAAACCAAAAAGCGTAACAATAAGCGCAATGTCAAGCTTAGCTACAAGTTTAAGTAGGAGCAAATTTAATGGAACGGAGGGAGTAATAGCCTAATTACAAGTACTTACTTGTACTCTTACCTTTAACATAGGGTCATTACTACTCCCTCCGTTTCGTATTACTCGCAACAATAGGGTGTTCACAAAATTTAAGAAAATTTATAAGATGGGGCTCAAAAGAGGATTTTTTTTATAATATAAAACATTGTTAGTAGGAGAGGAAAATAATAAAAAAGTAGTGTAAGTGAGGTTGGTTAGAAAGAGAAATAATAATATATTTGTGAAAGTGGGGTTAGTGAAAGAGAGAAATTATAAAATAATGATGGGTCCTTTC